GAGAGGGAGAGGGAGAGGGAGAGGGAGAGAGAGAGGGAGAGAGAGAGAGAGAGACATTGGGGGTAGGGGAAGAAAGGCTTGAGTTTAAGGATTCTCTCTCTCCCTCTCCCTCCCTTCCTTTTGCTGAAGCTGAAGCAAAGGGGTATAGATGGGGTGGGGGATAGACTAAGATAAAAAAAAAAAAAAGCAAAGGCAGCCAGCTGGAGACGTGCTGGGAATGCAATGGGCCTTTCAATGGGCTCCTTTTGGATGCAGAACTGCCACTTGGCACACTCAGGGGAGGAGGGAGGAGAAGGGGCTGCTGCAGGCTTCCAGCTCCGCTGTTGCTGCTGCCGCCGCTGCAGAGGCTGCTTTCTCTGGGTACCAGCAGCTCATCACTGAATCGGGCCCTGGGAGGAAGGCAGGGGGAAGGCAGGCTCAGTCACAGTGCTAACCTCACACTTCTCTCTCTTTGGCTCCCCCACCCCCTTCAATATGTGCTGTAACCCTGGAACGGGCTTTCCACGTCACGAAAGTGAGCTCCAAGACGGGGGATGCGCTTAGCATGGGGTCAGGCGTGAGCACTAGGAAGCCCAGACTAAAGTGTGTGTGTGTGTGTGTTTGTGTGTGTGTGTGTGTGTGTGTGTGTGTGTTTAAGCAGAGAGAAAAGAAGTGGAGGGATCAAGATAAATTGTCAAAATAAGAAACAGAAGGAAGAAGGACCAACCTACCAGGAAACATTCCTTTGGTGGGAAAGGTGGAGATGCTAGGGGGGAGAGCTCTCGGCATTTTTTTCCCCCTTTTTCTTTTCTTAACTCTCAAGGAAACTATCGCCTGAGCGGTTTACCCCTCCCGTTCCCAAAGCTCCTTTCTCCGGTGGAGACAGGTTCAAAACTATGACTGTCTTTCAGAATTATCCTTTCCACAGCACAGACACTTCTCTGCAAAGACAGGGATAAAGGAAAATCCAGGTCTCCGAAACAGAAGAGCTGAATCGAGCTAATTCTGCTTGAGTGTCCCGAATATAAGAGCTCAGGCATGCGAGCGACTTGGACAGAGTTTGTCCTGCATTTTGCTTCGATCTCTTTGCACCAGGAATCCTTCTATTGTGCTGCAGCTCAGAACCTCTGATTGCCCCTGGATTCAACAGCCACGTGTTTTCTTCTACCTTTTTACAAACAGAGAGAAACCCATGTTCTGGAAGGAGGCGCAGAACACTTGGGTAACAGTGACACATTTCACTTGCTTCCCCTGGGAAAGACCTCGGGGGATTGGGGGGCGGAGGGGAGCAGTATACATATTTGGTCCAACTATTTTGGGAAAGTGGATGGTAGAGAGTCATGAGGTGGGGGAGATGGAGGGGAGACGTCGCAGTATTGAGGGGCTGCCAGATTACAGTTCACAGGAACCCGGTATGAGGAATCTTTTAAACCTCAACTGACGGTTCACCAGTCCTCTCTGCTGGGGAACAAAATGCCTCTTAGTGGAGAAACTGGGGAGGGGCAAGTGTGCGGCAAGCAAGTCCTCTTAGCTAGTGGAAACTGTGCATCCATCATGGACGCACACCTCCTACTCCCCCCCCTCCGCCCCCACCACACACACACCAATCCTGTCACCAACTCATGGGGAAGGGAGGGACTCTGGTGGCTAAAATCCTCAACTGAACGATTGAACCTCAATTGCCCAAGGGCTCAAAGTTAGGCAGTAGAGGTGCCTTTCCCTTAAAGTTCTTTTTACAAAACCAAATTTTAAAGAAAAACAGTGTATGTGTCAATGTCTTACATCCTAATATATATATATATATATATATATATACACACACACACACCAGTAAATCCCCCAAGTCAACAACATGTCCCTTTAATGTCAGTCATAGTACATGTGCCTGATATTTTGCATTCAAAAATGCAAGTGCCCTTTGCTCCACAGTAGCTAAGATTGGAAGCAGCCATCAGAAACCAAGTAAGCAGGTGGGTAGGGTTCTGTACTCTACCACGTCCTTAATCTTCCAGACCCACCCTATTTCTCAGAGAGCTCTCAGGCCAACCCCGACAGCCCGAGCTCAGAACCAGAGCGATCCCATCTCCATCACCAGCTGCCAACCTCCCCCTCCCACGCGCGCGCGCGCGCACACACACACACACACACACACACACACACACACACACACCACCTTTTGTACCCAACGTGCAGAGGCGGTAACTGTCTCACGGATTTTAAGGCAACCCAAGATGCTATAGAATCCATGGGTAACCTGGAGACCTCCGTTAGCATCCCCGGGATGGTGAAGGGCCCTCTCTGCCATCATTCTATCCTGAACTACATACAGCCCCCCGGATTCTTGATTAGGGCCCCGTCCTAAAGGACATGTCACCCATGTCCTTTCCTTGATCTCAGTATAGTGTGTCTGGGCGGCAGGAAGAGCTCCAAAAGTTGGGATGAAGGGAGGGGGGATGGATCTCTGGGTTTGTCCGCTTCCTGCTGGGAGCGCCCGGCATCATTTGTCCACGGGGAGGACAAGAAGCCCTTTCTCCCCGGTGGACCCGTTTCCTCCCTCTCCCTCCCCTTTGCCTGGTCCCCGAGCCCACTCGTTGCCACACATGCACAATTAACTATTCCAATATGGAAGCAAAACTATCTCCCCCGGAACATCATTAAAATGCTGCATCATTCATTTTCTGGAGAGCGCGGAGCCTTCTGCCCATCAGTTCTCTCATCAACCAGGCGAAAGACACAATGGGTCTGTTTAGAAACGGAAAACGATTCAGCAGCCCAAGCCTCTTCCTCCCTGCTCTCTCTGACCACCAGAGCGGGCGATCCGCTGGGGGAGGGGCGGAGGCTCCGCTCCCCCACCTGCCCTATTTGATGGAGTTACTCACGGTTTCCTCCTCCGGCAGCGGGGTCCGCGGTGCCGCCGCTCTCCCGCACCTCTCCTCCGCCCGGCGTCCTGACCGCTACACGATCCGGCTCAGAAAAGCCCACAGACCCCCAGCACCTGTGCGCGTACCGGAGCCGCCGCGGCCAAACTCTCCGTGGGCTCTGCCGTGCACATCCTACGTCCAAGGCAGCCCGCTCTCAGTTAGGCGGCGTGGGGGAGGACGGCGCCGGTTCTCCTCGCCTTGCTAGGTTTTAATTTTTAAATCTAAGAGACTGTCCCAATATATAGGGTAGGGTCCCTAGGCCTGGCCAGCAAGCAGGGCCATATAAGGCCCGCGCATCGGGCTGGTCCTCCGAAGCGCTCCCACCTTGCAGACTTGCGGGGAAATGGTCGCCGCGCACCAACGGGGGAGCGGGGCGCTCACCTAGCGCGGAGAGGCCGGCGGCGGGGACCCGGCGACCTGGGCTCTGCCCCCCCCGGTGGCGGGGTGGCG